TGTCGCATCAAGCCATATGGTTAAGTCAGCTCAAACTCAGCCAAACAGGCTTCATTGCTCCAGCCTAATGAAACGATTCCCAGTAATCCCTAAGTGACTGACTGGAAGTGCACAATGGTTGATTAAATTTTAATTGTATCATCGAGTGCATCTTTACTATTACAAACTGTACTTACTAGGGGTTCCTCTTTTGTTGATATTTGAACACAAAGGAGCAAAATCCGCGTTTTCACTAGACATCTTTCAACCACTTGCGCTAAAAAGACGTGCCATGCACGTCGAGATGCTTTTGTCTCAAACCGCGAGCGACGTGAACACCACGTCGATAGGCATTTATCGCAAAAATGAAAATAACGTGGTGCACACGTCGCCTAACAACGAGATTGTTTATTTCTCGAGTTAAGCTCTGGATTGCACCACGGCCAACTGGATTCTATTCACGCAAGTCACGATTGCACTCGCGGCGTAAATGAGACACTTTACCACTTGTTATATTGTAGCGCACGGCACCGCAACCGTGAAATTTAGTCGTGGTGCAAGTGGTTAATATTATTCTGCGGAAGATAACGATTTCTTAAGCATGTTCCTAACGTTCTTCCGAACGTTGCAGATGTACTATTCAGTCCAGGGGATGTATGAAAAGTCTGCGAAATGGAGACATAACATTTTGTTGCTATTCTGAAAAAAATACAAAGCTGCATCTATAAAAGTCATCGCTATTGCTTCCTTCGATTGTGTGGAAGGTGGTTACATATAATTTATGCAAAAGAGATCAAGCATAACGCTGACTGATTGTTATGACCAAGGGCATAAAGGCTGTATTTTTATAAAAGCTTCTTATTGGTTAGAAAGATTGCTGCACAACATTGCAGTCATTTTAATGCCATTGCACTCATTAGTTTTGTTACTTGAAAGTGGCTGAGATCTTAAAAATTACAGCACCGTTATGAAGATGTTTGGACATGCTAGATATCTTTTGAATGTATCTACAGGAAAAATGCATCGTTTATATTTATTGCCTTTTCGTTGTGTCATATTATTGATTGAAACCGGGGCCACTTGGAAAGAGATACGAAGCCTCTTCGTTGAACATGGAATGCATGGATACACCAGAATGCTAAGCAAAGGCACAATTACTCTTTTCTTTGACTGGAGTCGGAATTGTAATGCAGCGTTTGGTCTGTTTCTAAAGAAGAATATTCCTTTCATCACTTTCAGGAGCAAATCGGAAACATCTATTAAAGTTGTTATCAGTGGTTTATCAACTGACGCTAAGGAAAAGAGTCTGAAGTTGCTTGCAAAGTATTTCCTGTGGTAAAAGTTACTCAATATACGAAGAAAAGCATGATACCATGACGAAGTTTCCTGTTTTTTTCGCTTTGATGAAAAGAACGGAAAAATGCAGAGGTATCTATTCGCAGAAGACGGTTTGAATCTGCCCGTCAGAATTAGATGTTCCAGAGAGAGTAAAAATGCCATGATTTGCTTTTGTTGTCAAAGATTTAGCCACGGCCAGGTTTTCTACAACAAGCCATCCAGATTCCTGAAATACAGTGAGTCTCCTGACCTACACTTCTACTCTCCCTAAAGAAGAGACGCTTACACGTGTGCATTTATAAGCTGAATCATTTGGCTTCATAAAAGAAATGCCAATTTTACCCCAAAACTCACATTAGGAACGAAGATTAAAAATTCTATGGTAGTCCGATGCAATCTGCTGATAATGATGCTCAGTATCGTTGCGTGCCCACTCCTGAAGAAAAAGTCGTTACACATGCGTAGTGCTCGCCCGAACAACCCGAAAAGCTGGACTAACTTAAACGCGGACGAAAGGATAAATAATTTCTTCAGCAAAATCATACTGTTTACCGAAAAATATAAGATTAAAACTACTGAGGAAAAGCTTCCGTTTGCACTTAGAATAGTAGATATGATTGCTAGTGTAGAATTTTTAATTTGATGAATTCTCATATGGAACTTCTGACCTCTTTGGGGTACAGCTAAACCAAATCGGTGATGAACTGCTCACATTATGTGTCTATGCAACATTATTCTCATCGAGTCGGATACGTCGTGCTCTACGAGATAATCACGGCAGTACTTGGATTCTGAGGATGAAGGATATCAGCTCAAATGGAATTTATTTCCCATAGTTCGTATTAATTAGCGGGATATTTCCCCCTATTTATATAAATCTATTTTTACATTTTTACTTGCATCCCCTTTTTCTTTTATTAAATAAATTGTGTGTGAATGTAAGTAGTTGTTCGTCGTGATATTCATTCTACACTAATCGTACAACTAAATCTAGTTATCAAACAGATGCGATTCTTATAAAGATGGATGTTAATAGTAATAGTATTTGCTTGATTAAGTGAATATTTATTTGTTTGTTTAATGTGGATGTTTCTTGTTTAAAGTGAATGTTTAAATGTTTATCATGCATCACTCAATTGAATTTTTCAAGTGTGTCCTTACTGACCACTTATCTGTTTCTATACCCTGCATTGCCTTTCAGTTCAGTAATCTTTCCCCTATACCTTCTCAGCGCTCATTTTGAGAAACTACGGATTCGAAATGTCTGTGCTAAGCTTATATTCTAAAATTAATAACACCGAAGCTATGTGTCAGGAGTGGTAATCCAGAAGTAAATAAATAAAGTGATACACAATGAACATGGATATTAAAACTAAATAAAATATGACCAATAATATTATTAAATTAAATTAAATTAACGATAAATAGGAAATTAATAAATTAAAATATCGCAAAAATTTAAAGGAAATAATAAAGCAAATGTAAGTTTATTAAATCAATAGTAACAAGATGTAAGAAAGAGAGTAAAAGAAGAAGAAGCATTTTGAATAGTATTCTTCACGATTTTGAACAGTATTCTTCATAATAAAGAATCCATCTTCGTTTTGACTTGAAATTCTTGACCAAAGTGTAGCTGAAGCTTTCTTCAGTCGGATAGGTATAGCTCATAAAATTCCTCTTCCTAAACAGAGATCGCATTTCAACTGGGTTTTCTTCTTCACCTGTTCAAATTTTCTTGCTTGTTTTCTCTTCCTAAGAAAATGATGCATGTGCAATATAGAAAAGGATTTCCTAATGCATTTTTGTGAACGCAAGTGAATCATTTTCGCACAGTTCAGAATAATTAGCATGTTTTTTAGATATTATTTATGATTACAGACTGTATTTTTTATTATTTGTACTTTTAAAATCCAAGCACAATAAAATACTATAACTGAATCATACTTCACAAACAACAATCATAGTCTTTTTTTTTTATTTTTATTTTTATTTATTAACAGACAATTTTAAAACCTACAACTTGATGTGACATATGTCACACGGTCATCCATTCAGAGGCGTAAAATTAGCAATGTTATCGATATAATACGAAAGATAATTCCAGCATCGCCAACATATTTTTCTTACCAGTGCATTAACATTTATGACTTATGTGGCATTATATTACAGTGAAAATTTTCGCAAACGGAATTTCTTAAAGCCATAAAAAGAAAGCAAAACGAGTGCGGCTTGCCTATGCAGGAGGACAACAATTTTGCTCCTTCGAAAATGTCAACCCAAGTTGTGTCTAGGAAATCTTCGAGTTGAGTTTGTCAGGTGTCAGACATCTCTGTTAAACAGCATTTTGTGCAAAACGCACCAAACCCAGTACTTCCTATAGCTGCTTATAGCTTCATTTGTTTGGGTCGTCCACTTTGTTTATGAAGTCTAAATAGAGCTCAGGTGTAACCCTTTAGTACTGAGAATACCTAAAGTACTTAGCGTTATCAGACTTTCAAGGTCAGTAGCCTGTTCTTCAGGATGTCCGCTAAACGTTTTTCAGGATGTCCCTCAATGAGTACAGCCATCTTGACCACCGTAAGAGCCTCCCTGAAGGTAAAACTTTCAGTTCTGTCTCTTTTGGGAGTCTTCGGGGCTGTATTCTGCTCTGTCCTTAAGACTGCCTTTTTCACCTACCTTTGGCAATTTTCAATTATCGGGCATGTTTCTCTCTCTCTCTTTTTGTGTGTGTGTATGTTCCGGTCATTCTCGTTTTGATTTTGCTTTCAACTAGAGAGGCTGTCGTGCTTTTTTCCTGCCCTTCTCTAGATGTAGACTGAGTAACTAGAAGTAGAGGTCATTTCTACCTCACTCAATGAAGGATTCATTTCTGTTCCTTCAATTTATTTCTTCTGGGTTTCCTTGTTGTGAGAAGAAAGGTCTACCTCAGAAGTTTTGCCTGTAAAAACAGAATTTCTAATTATATTGGCATTTTCAGCCATATATAAACTAGAAAAGGAAGTACAGGATAAAAATGTCCACCCAGGCTTGTCTGTTGCTGGGTAAGGCAAAATACTCTAGAAGTTGCCAGACATTCTAGATGATATAACCGCAGTGTCATTCATCCTAGGTACGGGCCGCAAAACTACGCCCTAAGTTAAGGGAGGGGGTTCGCGGCTTCTTAATTATTATTCGAAGCTATCCTGTCAGGTAAAACAGGACATTCGGCTCACCACCTGCCGACGCGCCTCTTAGTCACTCAAGCCCCAGGAAATATCTAGGAAATAAGAAATAATTTCATCCTTAAGTTTTTCGAAAAACTGTGCTTTGTATTTTGTTTGACAGAAATAAAAATATTTTTTTTAACTGTGAAATCTTCGTTCAGATAAAATTAGATAAACAGAAAAAATTAAAATTCTAAACTTGTAATAAAAAATACGTAAAAGAATAACCTAATTATTCATGTTTTTCGAACATTCCGAAATTTAAAATTCATTTCACTGTCGGTGGAGTCATAATTTTAATAAATCAACATCATTTCACAAAAGGAAACATTTTTGACATTTGTAAACAAAACAAAACAAACAAAAATCTCCCACAATTTATTGCTAGTGGTATAATTATTTATCAGCTTATCACCAGCAATGGAAAACCAACTGCATTTTTTCCCACAGAGGACGAACTAGTGATAAAACAGTAGAAAACTTAAAGCTTTTGGAAGGTTTATGTGCTTCTTGTGGTGCGGTGACACTGATGGCCGTCATGAATTATCTGCTGGTTTCTCTTATTTTGTTTTTCAAAAGTTTAACTTTTGTTACCTCGGAGAACACGAACCCTACTGAAAACCGTAAGTTGTGTTTTTTATTTCTCCCTTTAACTGTAACTTTCAATTCTCTAAAAGTCTATTGTTAGCTTAATATAGAGTGCTATGTTTGCCTTAATATGTCTTGTTTTTTAGATGCTAGTTCGTTATACATTGCTCACGTAATTGTTATTAATTACAGCAACTAGGAAACTATTTCTATGTGTATAATAATTTTTGAAAATTTAGATAACATATTTCGCATGAACTATGATACTTGAATAATTAACTGTTACAATTCTCAACGAACTGTAACATCTTAGTAACTACTTCGTAAACTGCAAATATGCCTAAAATTTCTTGGGATTAATATTATTGTCATTAAATTAAGCAATTTCTGTATAAGTAGACTTTGAATTACGCAAGTTTGAATTTTTATATAAATAATGGTTTTTTTTTTTTTTTTTTTTTTTTTTTTTTTTATAAAATTTTTCAAAATTTTCTCGAAATTTAGAGCGATTTAAAAAATGGAAAACCTACAGGCAAACTACATAGTCTACAAATAACGAAAAGTGTTATCCTTAAAATTATAAATGTTACCTGTACTATAAATAATAAACCAAAAACACGATAGTATAAAGAGAAATTTTCATGTTCCATTCTTGTAAAGAAGTTGCCGAGTCGGGATAGTGGTTAGAACTCTGATGCAGTACCGATGGGCCCGGGTTCGAATCCCGGAGAAGCCTTGGATGTTTGTAAATATATAGGGTCTGTGCGGCATGGGGACACTCTAAATAGACGGCGAGCCGAAAGCCCTCTCGAGTTCGAGGTAGGGAAAGAGGGGTTAGAAAACCTCGCACCCGTCCTCCCGAGGTGCTCTTCTTCAAAATTGGGGGGCGGAACTGAGCAAAGTCGTACTATCACCTATATAGTGCTCAAGGCTGTTGCCAACGAGAGACGTACTTGCACTCCTAGCTACTATGAATTTTGTGGGCTTGTTCTGATATTTCTGTTAAGCAAGTGAAATAAATCACAACAACAACAACGTAGTTTTTAACTCATTAAACAAACACCTACATATTTGATTTTAAAAAGAGCATTCTAGTTTCTCTTTCCATCACCTCTATCAGTTTGGGCTCGAAGGCTTAGGGGGGCCTTGAGTGTTCTGCTGAACTACATTCACATGATTAAACTTAAAAGAAGACGCATTCTTTTATAAATACTATACATAATATACCAAATGTCCGGTACATATACCAAAATATCGGGTATCATATTTCAACGGAAATATCCATTTTGACCGTTCCCAAATCCATTTGAACGGTCTTTTTTCGTGACGTCTGTATGTAACGGACAAAATAAAGGGCTCTTCCTTTCAAAAAAGGATTATAAAATGGGCTTAAAATGGATTCAAAAGGGATTTTCCTCGTGACATCTGTACGTTCAGACATACATATGTACACAGAGAGATAGAGATATATATCTCGCATAAGTCAAAAACGATTAGCCGTAGAGCGTTGAAATTTCGTATATGGGAGTACTATAATAGCTAGTTATGCACTTCACTTTTTTATTGCAATTGACAGAATCTGTATCCACCCCCTTACCCGACCTTTATTTTCGCAGTCATTGGTCGTAGTCATAGCTTTCCATCGAGAAGTCTCTCAGGGCGAAAAATTTTTTTGGCGATGTCAAATTAAAATAAAAAAAAAAAAAAAAAAAAAAAAAAAGAAACATAATTTTTGATATATAACCAAATTAAAATTTTTCTCCGGTCTTGTATTTGGGAAAGTGTTATACTCATGGGAAAAAAAATACAAGAAGTTTGACTTCTGTGCAGAAAAAACTGACCGGGATATTTAGTTCAAAATTTAAAATATTTCATGTCATTTTCTTCTTGCCTTCAGAGATCGGTTCATTAAATTACAATCATTCAAGGAAGTAAGTTTAGATGAAGCGCAGCAGAAAATGTGTATAATTTAATTTAAGTCATGTGGTGTTCATATAAGATTTTTAAATTATTTTCTGATCATCATCAAAATCAAAATTGTGGCTCCTGGAATCATCGAATTTGTGTGTGTGTGTGGGGGGGGGAGTATTGTAAATTTAATAGGGGGCCCAAAAATGCTTTTACATAGGGACCCAAGAGCTCTAGTTACGCCACTGGTTGGAACAAAAGGTTCATAAAAGTGCTGAGCAGCGAATCATCATTAGAATTTTAGGTATTTAACCGTTAACTGACAGAAATTCTCGCTATGCATGCGTAGAAAGTAAATGTCGTTATCATCACCAATTTTCGTAAAAATTGAAAAGATGTAATTTATTATTCGTTTAATGTAATGTCTATTACTGGGCGCAATGATTATTTATTTTTGTCTTCAATACCGGCTATTTTGACAGAAAATCTGTTTCTAATGCTGTCCATTGACGGATAAGGACCGATTTTTGACTAAAGGTGCCATTCCGTCTCATATTTATTTGAGATTTAAAATTTAGCTCGGACATGAGTATCTCTTCATCTGTTCCTACAACTTAAAAGGCCCCATCAATGGCCAACTGATTAAGGCCGTAAAACGCTGGTAGTTCGACCCAAATTCGAACATGGCGAAATGACTGGCTTTATAGCGGTGCTTTTCGTGAGTTTTCCCATATATAATGATAACACAAGCCAGTGTCCTTTCAAAAGTCTACCATGAAGGTATCGCTTTCCGTAGGCAGGTAACTCTCATGTGCTTTGCCATATCCAAATAATTTAACCTAGCCTATTTCATCACTTAAAGAATTTTTAGGGCGAAAGAAATTTAAGCTTAATGAGAAAATTATTAACGTTGTGCAAGAAAGGAATCGACATGCAGTCAAAATGCTTAAGGACCTTCCCGGATGCTGGAACAAGTATATTGTAGTGGTAAGTGAGAACAGAAAAATCGTACATAACATTTGAACATCTCTCTCAATAAAGGCTGTTTGAAACAAACAAAAACATTGCTGTATGATACAAAAGGAAATGCGTTTTCTTTTGTATTTATCTGAAATTAAGTTCGCCAAAGTATTAAAAGAAAAATAAATGTGATACAGTATAACTTAATTTTGACACAATCTTTAAGTTACTGCCAGTTTTAATGGATTGTTGCATTATTGCAAATTGACACAGTTCGTCTGTCTGTATATGTAGTACATTAATTTATATGCTCAGTGTCCTAGTATTAGTATCTGGCAGTTACCCCATAATAAGTGAAACAGGATTTACATATTCAGCAGGTTACATATTCATACCACGTGCTTATATAAGCTGGAATTAACAAACTTTCTTGTGCAGAATGACAAGCAAGACTTTTGTACTAATAATATTAGCAAGACTTTTGTACAAGACACTTCATTGATTCTTTAGTGAACAACTGGCAGATCTGGATTAGCCTAAAGAAAAATAAGCATGTGCTTAGGGCATCAAGTAAAGAAAGAGGGGTCGCAAAAATGAACCCAAAGAAAAGGGGCATCATAAAAATTTTCCACTGCCAGTTTTACATTAGAATGCATGATGTAGCTAAACCAGACTGGGAGAGAAGCAATGAACAAAAAACAGGTTTATAAATGTACGTAGAAACGACAAAACTTTTAAATGCTTAAGCTCCTAAAAGTTTTTCATAATTCAGCCTTGACAGCTGATAACTTCAAATGTGAACAGAAAAACAAAGGCCTGAAACGACAAGAAAATAACTTTTCCCTTTCTAAACTAAAACAGCGAAAGAAATTGATTTTGCGAGGAATGTTTGTCGGCACAAATATGGCACGAAGACCTTTCATCATTTCATATCATTTCATCATTGATATTGATAGTGAAAAATGTGGATGCTAAAATGATATTGTGTAGAGTGTATATTATGGACTTTAGAAAATAACAGAAGTCAGTTGTATGGATAAATGAGTCGAGTTTTCCTGTTTTCTTAATGGGGCGAACTTCTTACAGGATATAGCTGTCGTCAGAAGATTTTTTACTAGGCATTGTCGACCCAGTGTTATAGTCTAAAGGCAGTATTACATTCTGAAATCGCATTTCATGGTTTGGCTGAAGCCTGTTTGAAAATATTGATAAAACCATGAATGTGACACAGTATCTTTAAGCATTTTTGTTGTAATGGGAATGTGTTGGGTAAGGCTGGAATGTTTGCCAGCGACATTTATTTAAATATTCCTGGAAAGTAAAACAATTGATTGCAGATGACACAATGTACCTTTTGCGGTGGATTCTTTCTCATAGTAGACTAAGAGGAATTGAAAATGCTGACTCGTATCTTAACTTAAATGTCAACCAACCAAAGAACAAAACTTAAATATCAATCACCATCCAACACCCTTTTCAGAGATGAAACCACTTTTCAAATAGATGAGAAAAATTCAGATTCGCAATGTTATTGTCTCTGCACTAGTCAGAGAGGGTGGCAGAAGAAAGCAAGATTGTCCTCCATAAGTTGTATATTTAAAATCTAAGAGATCTAAGATAATCTAAGAGATTAGATCGAGAGATTGAATCTGGCTGAAAAATCTCTATTTTTATTTATTTATTTTTTGAAAGCTAAGGAGCAATTTAGTTTCAACATCTTTGCACATCCTTTCTTGCATTGACTGCCCTTCAAGTGAAGATATTAGCTACGTAAATTTGGGTCTTGAGAGCTTAAAGGCAGAGGGCTTATGTATTTAGTATAATTTTATCAGTCCGTATGTTAGATAAGCAGCAAAATGAAATTTTAAATTGAATAGGATCGTAGGAAAAGGACATTTACTGATTATCTGTGTATTAAAGGTCGAACGAATCGATGGTTGTATTAAGGATGGAGTGGAAAAGGTTTCATTCCTATATCTTGCAAGAAATTTAATATGAAAATGCAGCTATAAAAGCAAAAGTTTAGACATAAATTATTCGAAACATAATAAAACTGTTATTTGAAATCTAAACCTAATATATTCACAGATATTACAGATAGATAGGGAAAAAATATATTTCTTAATTTCAGGAGAAATTTTATAGCTCATGTGGCATAAATTTGTCTATTGCAACTTAGAATGGGAATAGAAACCCCTGCCCCCTGATAGAAATTTAAAATAAGATTAAATTCTTAATTATTGTCGTAAAATTCGTTGGCAGAATTTTTTTATAATGATATAAGTATTAGATGATATATAAACTTAAATATTAAATAAGTTCATCAGTTTGCATGCATTCATTTCAGGATTATTGGGACTTTACCAAGGAGACATCCTTCTCCGCAATGGAACGAGTTATTCACTTGTGAGTATCATTTGGAAATTTTATTAATAAAAATGCTTATCAACTACTTCTAATTAATATTAAAAACAATGTTTAAGTATGAGATTGATTCTACCAAGAAGCTGGTTTTAAGCTAGCATCGGTAATTTTCAGTTGTTTTTCATGAAAAAGTGAACCTTTTCATGAAATTCCTTTCTATTTTAGCGGTAGATATCTTTTCTGAAAATAAGCAGTTATCATTTATTTTAGCGGTAGATATCTTTTCTGAAAATCAGCAGTTAGCTTCTTTCGGGTTGTATTTGCTCAAGTCTAACACGAGACGCATTCAGAAAATAAATCACGTTTGGTTATTGTATATCAAAGAAACTTTGCAAGCAATGCGGTATAGTCCAGTATGCAACATAATCTCACACTCATTGTAAACACATTTCTCAACTTTCAATCAAGCACACGAATTTCTGGTGACAGATATTTGGTTACAAAGCTATCACATAGCTGCTTATTGTAACTATTCATGATTGACATGCTTTTTTTGTCTAGCTAGGTGTTCTTTCAGTTTGTTGAATGCATGGATGTTGCGAAGCATAAAAGGTCTATCCCGAAATTAATGCTCCCATTTTGTTTAAAACATTTATTGAACCGATTCCGTACAGTTACTCAATATTCTTCGAAATATATCCCTCCTGCTTTAACACACTTGTTCCAACGCGATTTCCATGCTTTATATGCGTCCTGGAAGTCCGTCATAAGGATGTCCTTTAGTAACCTCGTTATAACCACTTTGATGTTCTCCAGGGTCGCCAAATGCTGTCCTTTGAGAAACGATCAAATCTCTTTTTTAATCTCCGATCAAAAGTCTCCGACGGCGTTTTCTCAAGTTTGAAGCAAAACTTTATCGCCTATCGCTGCTCGAGAGTTTTTTTCCATCTGGATTTCGACCGAGCACTCACACAAGGGTTCATTGAAACAGGCACTGTGACTCTCCAGGAGCTTGGAGCCGACTGGCGCTGGTCGCGCTGTGTTCCAAGAATCCACCCATACTTCGGAGCAAGCGGCAACGCTGTGCGGCAGATAGTCGCGGTAGAAGACAATGCATTACTTTCGGGGCAGACATTGTATGTTTTGCACTTCCGGAGGTCCCTTTCGTGAATGCGAACAATGCTTTTGCTCAACAGCAGTCATGAATCTTGGCATAATTGAAATAATTTTTCATAAAATCGTTTTGTTTCTCCTATTTCAACGTTAAAGTAAATTCCAATTTGACATGCTGTTTTGCTGTTGTGGTATGATGAGTTTCTTAACCGCTACTATAACGAAAATGACTCTCGGAAAGCATAGGCACGAACTCGATTTCTCGCGTGCCTAGTCTTGTTGCATAGGTCTTTCAGGTGTTGGAGACAGTTATAACTTACTGTTTTGAATACTGTACGTGCATTCATATGTGCATATAATCTTATTATGTGAAAAACCTAACTCAATTCTTCTGTTTCGGAACCTAACTCAGTTCGGATAAGCAAAAGTCTAAATAGTTGATGTAAAATTATTACAGACCAGCAATATATGGCCATTGCGAAAAATAACATTTGTCTCCTTCTGATACTTTTAAAAAAAATAAAATATTTCTTAATTATCAATGAAAAAAAGATATGGAATTGTTTCTGTTTCAAAGTAGATATTTTTTCATGCGATCATGCCGTTGTTCGTTTTCGACAAAGAAGTTCAATTGGATCATAGTCTTCCTTTCTTCCTTTCTCTTCAGTAAATTTATAGCACACTTAATATCAGTTGTGGCAATTCAGCGAATTAAGCGAAAAATAGCAAAAGTCTAAGAAAAATCGATTCATAAGTAAAGGGAAAAGTGAAGAAGACGAAAACGCTAATTTAATTAAAGAAATCTCTTCACATATTGTTTGAAATATGCTGTATATATATATATATATATATATATAATATATATGTTTTACATTCTCTGGGAAAGAACATTAATTTACTTCCTATAAAGCAGACATTAGTTTCACTTGCTTATAAAGGTGAATAACATAATAAGACAAGCGTAATAGGCAGAACAAATGAAATAAATGCTTGAAATAGTGAAGGAACCATTTTCTTAAATATCAAAAAATGAATTACAGAAAATAATTCAAGCGAAAATTTCTAAATATGTAAAATACGGTTGTCGCTACAAGAGAGGCCCCTTTTCAGAAAATAATATGGATATGGGCCATAAATTCGCCTTGTTGAAGGAACTTGTCTTCTTAAGGAAAGAGCTGCTTCTTTTTGCAAGTTTGTCGGAAGTGACGATTCCTTTGTTTCTTGGGTCGACATTCTTTTGGATTTTTATTTTGGTATGGTAACGGCCGTATGTCTTTTATATGGTGGAGGGCAACGTTTGTAATCGTCTGCAAAACAGATGTAATCTTTGAAACTGATGCTGAGTTGAAGTACTAAAAAGTAAGTAACCTCATAGATTGCTTGAAGATGTGGTGGCATAATGCCTTCCAAGACGTCCGGGGCTGCGCTGGAGGTGATATGAAAACCCCTAGTGGGATTTAACATGAACTGTTCGCTGTTTGATCGTTAGCAATCGCTTTTTTTCTTTAGTGATCTTTTTGCAACAAATGGCTGTACTTCACAGACGTTGCCCAGAAATGCGTTGAATAATTACATAAAAGATTTGATTTCTGCGTATCATAATAATGCGCCTTTAGTTGTAGGGTCATAATCTTCATGTGAACTGGCTTCTTAAAGGCGGTACATCATTATCATTGAGCAAAATCATCATTACCTGTGCACACCCAAAGTTATTTCACTAGTTCAATACTCAATGAAAACTTGATTTTCTACATTTTTATGTAAAAATTAAAAATATTAATTTACAATAATATAGAATATCATGATTTAAAAGATGGTCCATCTCTTTCAATGGCCTTGAATATCATGATTAAATACTTGTTAAAAAATAAAAGGATATTTGGAAAACGATTGTACAAATAAATATCTGTTACTATTGGTCGTAGATTAATTTTCTCAAAAAAAAAAAAAAAAAAAAAAAAAAAAAAAAAAAAAAAAATTGATTGAAATAAAATAGACTTATAGACTGGAATACGGAACACTTTTGAGCAAAGATGTATGAAACTTAGCTTATATTTTTATACGATCTCAGTAAAAGGTTAGCATAATCTTCTTCTCGTAAAACTAAATGTTATACTAAAGTAAAGAAGAATATACAGTGGAACCTCGAGATACGAGTTTAATTCGTTCCAGCATTGAGCTCGTATAGCGAATTCCTCGTATCTAGAAACAAACTTCTCCATTGAAAATAATGGAAATCCAGTTAATCCGTTCCGCACTCCCAAAAATATCAACATAAAAATCAGTTTTTCTAATAAATAACACTGGTAAATAATATAACCGTAGTTTACCTTTATGACAGCTTCCGACACCGACTTTAACTGCTTCTCGTTAATCCACGCCAACAACAGCTTCTCAACAGCTCCTAGGAGCTTCGGACGGTGCTTGGAAGTAACGGTAACTCCTTTGCCCTCTTCTTCCTTTTTCAGAATAGCGCAGATCGTCGATGTCGAAAGGCTGTAAGTCTTCGTTAATTCCGTCACTCTTACGTTTATCTATTATTTCTTTCTTAATTTCAACAGCCATGGCTTCCTTATTTTTCTTTACAGCACTATGAGGCAATAATCTTCTTAGAAGACATCGTGAAATAATTATTTTTACGTTAAATGCAATAAAAAATTAACTCACAAGCGCACAAACACGTAGATCAAAGAACACTGAATGATCTGACAAGAGGATTCCCCGAGTCGAGCCGGATCGGGAAATGGCGCCACGCATACCAACAGCCTGGTTCATTGCTCGTTACTCGAGTCCACGCTCGTATTTAGAGACAAATTTTTCGCTCATACAATCTCGTATCTCGAATTTCTCGTATATAGATAGTGGTGCCCGTATCTCGAGGTTCCACTGTATGTCTGTTTCGGAAAACGTTAATGAACAATTATAATAGACTCTCTAAGGCGAATAACTGCTGTATTAGACGATTTAGTGGCGGCAATTGCCTTAGAGAAAATAACTGTCAGTGATGGCGATTATCACTATTTACAATGAATTTACCCTATTCAAACTTTAAAAAGGCTATTAAGAGAAATTTATTTGTAGAAAAATGTATATCGATTTATTAATAACATTACTTAATAAAATAACAAACTAATCACAAATCTCAAATACATATTTAAGAAAATGAAACCCGCAAACATTTTTTTCAAATATTTTGCATCGTTGTAATGTAACTTCGCTAATATTTAAAGAATGTATTTCATTATTTTTTTGAGATCCATCAATGGACTGAAACCATAAGATCCTATTTGGTTTTGTCTAGGACAGAAATGCTGTAACTGCAGCAAATGCTAGATGGCCAAATGGAGTGGTATACTACACCTTGGATGACATTTACAGTAAGAAATTAAATATTTTTGTCATTTTTATTTTGAATAATGTCGAAATTTTCTATTCTATGCATTGAATCACAGAAATAATGCGACCATCAATTTTCCCACAACATCAATTTATCTTCAACCAAGAATTACCATTTACTTATTGTTACAGAGATATAGAGCGATACAAAACTCGCGCACCTCAAAATTTCAAAAATTCCAAGATGGTTATTAATGACAAATTGTTTTAGTGATTGACAGCGCTGTTTAGGCAATATATCACTTGAAATTTTAATTGTGGCTTGTACTGTTAGCTTTGAAAACTGTTTGTTCAATGTCAGATGGAGATGAGTTTTTCCGAAGCAGAATGAATTTGTTATTTAAGCATTACTTCGAAACACATGAAATTGATTGCGATATCACCTTTCTCACATTTTCTGTTGGTGATTGCTATATTTTAATCCTGACTTCGTCCATTTCTCCAACTCAGAAGAGACGGAACAATATTCATTTTGTGCAGAGAAAACTTCGAATTCTCGAAATCAGTTTACCAAGTGAAAAATCATAGTCTTGTTGCGTTCCTGAAAATTTGAGAAAGTCACAAAAGATTTAGCACTTTCTTGTAAAAATTGTAAAGTTAACAGCATAAACTATACAACTGAAATTTCAAGAAATATATTACTTATAATGATAAGGATGTGACACACTGAATAATTTGCCATTAATATCTATTTCAGAATTCCGATATTTTGGAAAGTATGATGTTTGAATCACCGGGAATTACTGCTTACGTAGGACTACACAGAACTCTTGATCCCGAAAACTCGTATTGATCGTAAAATAAATTTGTAAAATCGAAGGCTCGTGAATGAAAATGTCTTTAGATTATTAGATTAGAGTTAAGATGATAATCGGCAAGGACGCGTAATTCTTAAATCAGATGTTCTTCAAAAAGCAATAATATCAGGCTTATTAATCTTTTCACATTTATTCATCAGTATTCTTTGCAGTCAGTATGGTGGTTAACAAAAGATAATTATTACGCCAATAAATGCGGTTTCAAACTGCAGATAATCTCTGAATATGTATAACTATAATGCATCCATAATGTATCTTTGAAATGAATACACTTAAAATCCACCAATCCGAAAATCTCTGAAGATATTTATGTTAGACCTTATAAAAGAAACTAACACCCATCGGGGGCATTAAAGAAAACCATGTCTATATCATTAAAACCAAATAAATACGTGTAACTGCACAAACAACTGCATTCCATGATTCACTGCACACTTTTGTCGTTATCATTGTTTTCCTTTTAATGTAGATTAAAAAGGACATATGGATCACATTTTGAGAAATTCTGAAATCGAAACATAGAAGAGAAAAAAAGGAAGAATTACTGAATACGTAGTATTAAAAGTTCTCCGATTAGTTGGCATTAATAATTTAAATGTTAGTAAAATAAAGCGTCATCAGAAAGTTACAAAATATCATTATCTATTATTTCCAAATGTCAAACATTATTACACAGAAATTCTGGCTAGTGTTCACCATTACACTAAAATCCGCCTGAATCGCTTCCATTGAGAGGCGTTTAGTCATACAAAGTTTCAATGCTAAATTTTCTGATTTTTCTGCTGACTAGAGTAGGAGAAAAAGCAACAACTGTAGAACATTTTCAGAGACATATGGAAGCAGGCTCATGATAATATCTTGAAGTGATTAATAGAAGAATTAAGCATATACACTAACTTAAACAATCAGGAAAAATAAAATACGAACAAAGTAATACCAACTTAGAGATAACACAGTTATTCAAGGTAGCGCATATGTTTATTTCTCAAAGCAAAGCAATATCCAAACAAACAAGATAAAGACATTATGCTTAACGCAAAACAAAAGTTAAAGAGAACATAACAGAAAACATAAATGAGAGGAAAGAACATAATAAAAATATATGTGGGAAACAACTTTGGATTATACTGCATACATCTTGTTAAGACTGTATACATGGTCAATTGTAATGAGTTATAACACAGTCGACTCTGAGCTACTATAACTGAAATAATCTTCTGATGTGGAAGTGTGTGGGTAAATTACTTGATGTCTGGAGGAAGGCTACTTGCGGCTGTCATGGCTGAATAAGTCATAGCACAGTATGACTGGACCGAATCAATCTTATGCCATGCAGTACTGTTATGTTGGATATTAGCAGCTGGCGATGACTAGTTTGTGAAAGGCGAAACTTACACTGAAAAGTTTTCAAAATTTGAGATATAAAGGGAAATATATTGTATGATTTGATAACCGTTTCTGTTTTAGATGAATGTGATTTCTTTTGGGAAAGAGGTGACAATACGCTGCACTTCAGATTATACGCAGATAACATAGTCCAAGAACGGCCCAGCAAAATTGTAATTAATGCACGCATTCAACATAAAATATTACAAAAATTTTAAAAATGGACACCGCATATGCGCGGCAAAAGAAATCATACCTTAAAAGACGGGCGCCATGTTATATGCATTTTCAAGGACAGCGTTTTGTGTGCTAATAACAGTTGGCTTTCCTCATCCAATTTATTTATTTATTTAGGACGTAGTCCGGCACGCCTGACGAGCGAAGCTCGTCTTATGACAAGAAAGAGCTGCGCCCATATTACACAACACACACACATAAAAACATATGAACAAAAAATACAATAGTAAATCAAGCTATAAAACTATCAAACATCGTCTTATTGGTTTTTAATAGTACAAAGTTTGTGTATAGGAATTGGTAGTTGAAACTTTGGCTTGTTCAGATTAATACACTTTATCTACTTTATCCACTTCATCTGTAATTTCCGTATTATGTAGATCTGCATTTTTCAGGTTATCAAGAATTGTAATTAGTTTTCCTTGCAATCTTTGTGCTATGACGTACTTTCCATTTTTTCTAAGTTTGATGATTTTGATACTATTATCATATTGTTTATTAATGTAGTCCTTATGGTTAGTTATATTGTCTAGACAATCATTAAAAATGCTATTAGCCACTAGATTAAAGTCGTATTCATAACTGTTAAGTTCTGAATTAGAGTCTGATAAATAATCTTGGGAAAACATAGTTGCTAAAGCCTTTAGAGTATTCTTACATGAATAATATAATTAAGGAGAAAATGTTTTTACAGTGAAGATATAGGTATAATACTAATGTACTTCATCCAATTATGTTCTCCCTCCTTTTTGTATGCCTTCGTGGTGTAACGGTAGAACACTGGGCGCGCATTCGAGAGCTCCAGGTTTGAGTCCTGGCGAAGGCACTGCACATTTTCATGTCTCCTGTTTCAAAATAACGAGAATGATTTTACACTGCCGCCCGAACTAAAATGTGGTGAATGATGATTCTTCACCACCAGCATTTGGCGACTGGATCCCCTAACCCCGTCTCCCTTTAAAAAGGGGAGTATATAAGGTATTTTCTCCCTACTTTCCGCATGCCTTCTTGGTGTAACGGTAGCACACTTGACGCGTGTTTTACCCGAACAAAAAGATGGCTGATGGTGATTCTTCACCACCAGGATTTGGCTATTGGAACCTCTAATCTCCAGTTGCCCTTTAAAAGGGGGTATATATAAGGTATTGCGTCTCCTCTTTCTGCATGCCTTCGTGATTTAATGGTAGCACACTTGGCGCGTATTCGAGAGACCTAGGTTCGAGTCCCGGAGATGGCATTACTCATTTTTCACGTCTCCAGCATCAAAATAACCTAATTGAACCCTCTATTTCATTTTATTTATTATTTTACATTTTAAAAAATTTATTGAGAAGTAAGAGCATATGTTCCTAAGATATAAATAAAAACTCATTTTTCTCCTCCAGAGCTCTGTGATGCAGACATTCCATTTGAGGCAGGTGTTAATTTTCTAAGTATTTTACTATTTTTCACTTTACGCTCCTTGTTTCATTATTTTTCGAAGAACTGCCTTTATCTCTTGTACAATATATGCTAAGAGTTACCGTGAGTATGAAAATAGTCTTCACTGATTGTGTCAAGAAGATATTGTATTTTTATTCCAGCTATTCAGATAGTAATGAAAGTGTAATTAGATAATGAAGATTTATCAATTTTACATGTGAACCAAATGGTGAAGTCGGCTTGACAGAATTCTGCTTCTTAAAAGCAGTATTAGATAATTTTTTAATTTTAACTGTAAGAATAATTTTACATGTAATTTTTAACTGAAAGAAATATTTATATTTACTTGTATGTCAATAAAATAATTATTTTCTGAATAAATGAAGTAATTATTTAACATTTCAGGAACATGTGTTTTTTATGCTTTCCATTAATTAGGTTTTACGAGAAAATTCTGCTATCGTTTAGATTTAAATCGTTTGCGAAAGTCTCCGTCTGCTTAGTTACATAAGCAAAATTCTTCTCTCATCTACAAACGGTTAGCAGTTTTAAATGAATGACATACTGTGCACTATTTAAAACATCTTTCAGTTAATATAATGACTTTCGAAAACGTCTGATATATTCATTATATTGAAAGCCATACTGAAATTCTTATGTTGTGCCGTCATTGACTCGAACTCATTTTATTCGCCTATATGATCTGAAATCAAGCAGGCGGCTGTCTGGACGTTTCAGTGTCGAATATGATTCCCCATGTTTCTTTAATCGTCATTTTCCTTTTTCTCTTTTTGCATTCCACCTATGACCTCTCGCAAGCTGCCTCAAAAATAGTTTCTTCTGTTAACACCCTTTTCATTGCTCGTATTTTAGTCCACTTATGGGTTTTCTTCACTTATATTTTCATATACAGAAATATTGGAATACAGTGAAGCCGAATGACGCTACATCTTCACCTAAGGTTTTGTAAATTTTTCGTTTTTTCCAAGGCCCAGTCTAAGAACGCTTTATGACAATGATTCAAAAATTTTGCGTCCCAGCACCTTTGTGGCTTATACGCAAAATATCGCAATTCTTTCATGAAAGAGTACTTACATTACTTGGTTTCAGAATCGATATGTTAATGCTATGATAAGAAGAGTATCTAACTGATAGAATGGGAAATACAAAGCATTGTTTTTGAAAAGTGTCTGTCAGCTTACATTTTAGCTGATTTGCAAAATATTTTTAAGGAAGTAATGTGGACAAGTTCACATGGATTTAAAATCCTTTCAAAGTTTCCTCTGAATTTATTTCTAAAAGGAAATCTTGTAGAATCATTAGGTTTGTCGAAGCGGGAAACATGAAAATACAAACAGACGTCGCCGGGATTCAGAGTCAGAATCTCTGGATTCTTCTCGATGTGTTTCCAATTACACCGCAAAGTCAAGCAGTAAGTAAGGGTAAAGAAAGATAAGATAGAGAATTTCTATCTTATATTATCCCCCACTTAAAAGGCGAATGAGAAGGACAAGATCCAGTCGTCGAATCCCGGTATTGGCGAATTATCGTCGTCACATTTTGGTTTACACGCACTTGCCGAGGCATTAAATTTCTCGAAGCAATAAACTTGAAAAATATGAATGCCCTGGGCCGGAATTCAAATTCCGAACTTCCCGATTGCTAGTGGGATGTGCTTCCAATTACATCACAAAGACAACGAGTAAGGAGGAAAAAATGCCTTTCAATCTCAGTGGATTGTCTTGCGGTAATACACAGAAAAAACATCTCACAGTAGGAAACTACTTCAAAATTGTCATAAGCAAAATGATAACTAATTCCAAGTACTTTGTTCTAAAGTAAGTAAATTTGTATTAAATAAAGTAATATTCCAAGTCATTTGTACGGTTAAAGTACTTGCAATCGTCATTTGCACACTTATAATATGATTTTTCAATTTGACAGATTATCAGATGTTTTGAAAGTAAGCATCCAGATAAAATGAATACAATAAACAAATGATATTTTTAAAATTGTTTATAATATATTCACAGAAAAATATGAACTGCATGGACCAAAGCTAGGAAAGTCAGAATGTAAAAGTAACGGCTGAGACTGTAAGAATCGATATCTATGAATGTCTATCGATATCGATATATCGACTGTAAGAATTGATTTTTCGCTCCGTCTTTCTTCTAACTACAAGGTTAAAATAAAACTGTATATTACACCTCAACCTGAAGGTTAAACAAACTCATAGTTTGTCAGAAACGAAACTCCTCAGGTAATCAAAATACGCGTTGAAATTAAATAGAATGCATACTACAAAATTACATTACATAATTACAAAATTACAATTGCTGTCAATTGTAATTTTGTAATTGTAATGCTGTCAATTGTAATGCTGCAAAATTACAATTGCATTAATTACAAAATTACAATTGCTGTCTGCGAAGCAGCAGCAGCTAACAGAAGCTTAAAGTAATGCGTTAAATTCAACAGGAAGGAACGTAAGCAGAAAAAAGGTCAACCTAATGCTGCCAAGCAATCGCTCGAAAACCCAGAACCTTAAAACCTTACTTATATTTTAAGTAATTTGCATTCCTGTGGACGCTGGCGAAATTAAAGTAATAAGGTCAACATAACACTTTACACATGTATGACGCATTTGTGGAAGGCTGGATTTTTTTAACGGTCGCTCTAATAAAAAGGGAATATCTGAAAGGAAAGAAACTAAGTGTGAAAAGGCAAATAGACGGCAATTAGAATTCAAGATTTCAAAAGAAGTGCTAGGAAATCGGAAATTATTTATTCATTCATGAGAATGTCCAAAATATATATTTATTTGGTAAATTTTATTTTAATTTTCTCTAAATTTGAAATACGTCTTCCTTTTTTTTTTTTTTTTTGTTTTTTAATTGTTCTAAACTAACTGCATCTTATGAAAGGCTATAGCTATTAGAGGGGCTTGACTTAAAGCACCGTGAGAAAAATTCGAATATCCGAAGAGCGCTGGGAACCAGAATTGTTTGAGAACCACTGATTTATCAAATGATTCACGGTTAATCTGGAAAACGGATCGTTCATGAAGGCCATTCGAGAGTTCAGTGTATCTTTTTCCTTAAAATAAAAATTTCCATCTTGTCTTTGAAAATGTTGCACAAAATCGTTAGCTGGCTAAGTGTTTTTATGCTGCAAATTTTTATGACTTTATTATTACAACAGATTTCTACAATTTAGATTCATATATAAAATAGTAAGACACAATGAGGCTATTGTTCCCTTCATTGTTTTGATAGATGTGTATAATATTTGGGCTATGAACGTTTTGTATATTGATGTCTCACAATCAACCGTTCCTACAGAAAATAAAGCATCATTGTAACTTTCCAAAACACACATAGTTCTGTCATAAATGTGCTCGAGCCCTGTCAGTCGTGATATATGAAATCTGAAGTGTATAAAATCGATATTAATAATTTTATGCAGTAACAGGTATTCGTTTGTTTCATGTTATAAGTTTATACATTATTCTATTCTTTCCTGGTAGCGGAAAGTGATAAAGAAGTTATACGTTCAGCGATTGAAGAATTCGAGAAACAAACCTGCATCAAATGGGTGGAGAGAACAGACGAAGACGATTATGTGGAAATCTATAATGAACAAGGGTATTTATAAATACTTTTAACACAAGCCTTCTTTCAAGCAGCATTTTTTTTTTTTTTTTTTTTTTTTTTCAGAATTGAATATACCAATGCTTGAACAAACCACAAACTTTGCCGTAAAACTGTGTAGATTTTGCAACTTTAAAATCCTTCAGAAATCCTCTTTCTTTTTTTTTTCCACGAACCTTTAAAATTTCCATAAAATTTATCTAAAATTAAAGTCAAGCTCTGTAGCTTCCAATTATAACGCAAGAATAGCAAAAATCTCATTCTTGCGTAAAGAACATATACGTTATTTCTCGTGCCTTTGTGGTGTAGTGGTCAGCACACTGAGCCGGTATTTCACAGGTCCGTCGTTCGATTCCCGGCGAAGGCGGTTGCTCATTTTTACATTCCTTTGCTTCCAAAAATATACCTAATGTCTCTACAAGCCATAAAGAGTTCAGTATTTTAATATGAGAGAAGAATTGTCTAAAATTTCATTTTACTACTAAGGAATAGTATAGGTAGGGTAACTAATATATAACTAATAAGGAATAGTATAGGTAGGGTAACTAATATATAACTAATAAGGAATAGTATAGGTAGGGTAACTAATATATAACTAATAAGGAATAGTATAGGTAGGGTAACTATAGACGAACTCATAATATTACTTGTTCACAGCACAAATTTTAAAATTATGCCATTACTGATAATTTAATTATAAGGAAATATCATACTCCCTCGGGCACCTAGCGACTGAATGATCCGTGACTCTAATTTTGAAGAAGTCATAGTTGATTTTTCATGCTTCCTGGCTTCGGAAAAAAACCTAAAAGTCTTTATGGTGGCATCTGAATAAAAATGTGATGAATCATAATTCGTCGCCAACTGGATTTGGTTGAATGCATTTTGAGTATATCTCCAGTTGACCTCCAAGTGGGGAAAAATATAAAGGTTTTTCATATTTTCCTGTGTATGTTCTCGTGGTGTATTTGGTAGGACGTCCTGCTAGCAGTTGGAAGACATACTTCAAATCCAGGCGAGGTCAAGCTGATTTCTTACGTTTCTTCTTCAAAAATTACGATATAATATACGATAAACGATAAGATGATTTTAAAAGTCGAACTAATGAAGTGAATAACGAAGTATCTAAACAATAATTTGAAATGAATTAGCTCGAGATTTTTATAAATATTGAAATAAGCAGTGATTTTTTTATGTAATTTAGCTTTACTCTTTTTAGCAGTGCTTAGTTGTAATGCATTATAATTTTCAATCGAAAAAGTTCTTATTTTATATTGTTACTTTCAGGTCAATTAATAACGAATTCGACTTTTTTTTATATTTGTTATAATCACAAGCTGTTCCTAAGTAAATTGCGTTTATATTACCATTTTATTGCAGTCGCACTTCCAGATATCTGTTTGCAATGGTAATGTGCTTCAGTATACTGAAAATAGTACTCTGGATGTGAAATAGTGAAATAATTGATAATATGTTCATTTTATAATTATTTCGCCCCCTTAAACTTGCCCCCCCCCAAGCTTTGCACCATCTTGCCCCCTTTTTCCCGAAATCGGCCCTATTACCTAGTGTGCTAACTGAAAAATGAAAGTATATAATTTCATCCCATTCATCCTATTTTACTTACAATAGAAAAAAAAATAATATTTTAAAGAAAAATGTTGTTAACTTGCTGTTATTAATTGGCAAGTTTTGTTTAAATTATGCCTAACTCGAGTTTTTTTTTTTGTTTTTAACAATAATATGTGATTTTTCTACTAATTGCAGTATAATACATTTAAACGACTTATATAACTAAAATGCTATTAAGGGATATGTGATATGTCTAGGAGTTGTAACCGATGTAAAGTCTGAAGCTCTTAAAGTATACTGAAAAAAGTCCAAGTTTCTTAAAGAAAGAGAAGATAACCCATACACATCCAAAATACTGTTATCATGAAAGAAGGTATTAACTTCTCTTCCATAAGCCTCGATAAAACGTAGCTTAAACATTACATCCTCTTTTCGTAAGGACGACCTTGACTGACTTAAAAGGTTTACAGAAACAGGAGGTCGGAACTGATTGACCCTTCTTTACATCTTGATTAGGCGAATGTGGATGTTTTATCTGTAAGTATATGTTTCTTTTTGTATAAGGATTTAATATGGTTTAAAGACTTAAAAGATTCAGTTTGGTATATGTCCCGGAACTATAGATAGATAGCAGACAAGAACAACAATAAAAAAATTGTAAGCTTGTTCCTTATTAACGAAAATTCTTTATTGTAAGAGACATAAGATATTTTTTTTTATTTTCAGATGAAGATTTACAGGGAAAGACCTATGAAATGAACGTTTCGGCTTCTTTAAATTTCTGATGAAGAAAGCATGTTGTTTTTTCTGTTACCAAAATCCGCGTCTAAACTGACAATTTTGAATTTGACAATATAAAAACATGTTTCCTTTCCTTTAAAAAGTAAAATATTACTATTGTAGACTATCGGTTCTCAAAAAGTAAAGCGATTTTTGTTATTTTTATTACACATTTAGGACTTCTAACCTAATATACGGTTACATACAATGCGTCTATAAAGATTTGGGATTAATTTTTTGTTTATCAAGAAATCTGTCAGACGATAATTGACAGCATTTATTACTATGTCCTCTTAACTTGCTTCTCCTAAAATATCATTTGTTTACGGCAGAATTTTCTGTGCTACTAATCATTTGTTTTGATTCAGTGAATATCTGCTGCACATGACTTCGAAAACGGAGCAAACAATAACAATGTATTTTAGATGAAATCTGACGTTTTTTTCCTCACAATCCTGAAAGAAAAAGGCAGTCATCTCTGATTCGGTTGGAAAAGGTTCGTCAGGGACACTGAAATTGAAATATACACTAATGTTTGTAAAAAATGCAACACCACGAAGGAGTTGTCAGAAATGAATAAAATTTATTCCACATATTACTGACAGTAGTACAAATAAACGGTCAAATTTACAACCCCCCCCAAAAAAGACAAAGAAAAATGAACGTCAGAAATCAGAACTTTGCGTGTCCGCCACGAGAAGCGATGAGAGCCTGTAGACGTCGTGGAATTGAATCATGCAGGTTCTGAATGTAAACATGGGGAATGGTGTTCCATGTGGTTTCCACCTGACTCCAAAATTCAGGCTTAGTGTGTGCCCCACCAACTGTACAAGAAAATCGCCGACCTATGAAATCCTAGGCATGCTCAGTGGGCGACATATCAAGGAAAAAAGGAGACCACCGAAGAAGTGGAACCTGTTATGCTTAAAGAATCCTAAAGAAGGCTTATGCAATCTGAGAAACATGTGCACGGGCATTATCCTGCTGCAATACTGCGTCCGGCATTCTGGCTCCAGAACCTCCCTTATGCAACCATCACTGTTGAGGTTGCCTGCAATCTGCACTAGATGGGATCAACAATTATACCCTATAACTTCTCACACCATGATGCCAGCCGTTTTTGCGGTATGTTGCTGGATAACACGCTGTGGGGCAGAAGTTTCTTTTGTAACGTTTGACGCGTACTCTCCATCACTGTACTCCAGACTGCAGAAAGATTCATGGGAGAAAACGACTTGTTGCCACAGGGGGCCCACCCACTTTGTTGGCATGCCCATTGAAGTAGGAGGCGTCTGTGATTCAGCCACAGGGGAATCCTGCATACAGAAACCCTTGCACGCAGTCTTTGCTGCAGCAGACGACCACGAACTGTGGAGATAGACAACACACCTGTCGCCGTGCTCCAACGTTGTGTAACACACGAAAAGATGAAGTACGATCCGTCAGGACCATACGGATGAGGTGTCTATCATCCCGTGCCGTTATGCTATTGCGTACCCCACTGCCAGGATTTCGCCTTGTGTGGTTCTGTGTCCATTTGTTCGAAATACGCATCATTATTGTGGCATTGCGCTGAGTACGGACTGCAATTGCTCGATACGAAAGTCCACCCTCTCGTTTACCGACTGTGAAACTGATTAGTTGTATCTAACAAATATTAAAAACAAATCTCTTCATTTTGATGTACGAGACACAGATGGCGTTGGCTGTCATTGAAGTAGGAAGAAAAAAAGGGTTTTCCCTTTCGACCTCGTGACGTGAACTGATTAAGATGTGTAATAACTTTCGGGGCCAGAAACATTTCCCAACAATTGTTAAAATATGTATATATTTTGTAGTATAGAGAGAATATAATTAGATAAATCAACTTCTTAGAGTTTTTATTACAGATTCAACATCACACTACCCAGGTAAGTGAGCAAGTTTTGTCTTTAGTTTTTCTGGATTTGCTCGGTATCTGGGATGAAGTGAAGGAAGTATTTTTATTTTAATGATATTTAATGATAAGACTATGTTTTAGTAATAACAAAAAGTGGCGTCCCGTGACAGGACTCTAAGAAATAAACTTAAAAAAAAATATTTTAATGGTTATAGATAGTTTTTGATGTATTAAAGCATAATTAAGTTTAAATTCGAAACTATTTTTGTAAAAGCAGTTGTTTTATTGAAAGTTTGTTTTATTTTGAAAGTTAACTATGGAAGCTTTAAAGGTTTAAAGGCTCTGAAACTTAAACGGGCAGGTTTACGCACTTCTTTTGCAAAAACTGCTAATATTTTAAAAAACGGAATTAGTAAAAGAAAGATTTTTCTGTAGATTTAGTACGAGATAAACTTACTAAACTACAAAATGTATATTCAGATATAAAAAATGTAGATGATAAAATTCTTGATTTGTTAACTGAAGACGGGGAAAACCTTAGAGGATGATGTTGCTAAAGAAATCGAAAGTCGCGAGGTGTATTCTGATGATTTCATAACACTAACTCGGCAAATTAATGAAAAATTGCAATTTTCAGATGAAATCAATTTAGAAACAAGACCAAATGATGGTGCTGGTATTTGTTGTAGTAAGATTAAACAGTATAGACTTCCGAAAATCGAACTTAAGAAGTTTGATGGGGAATTGATAAATTGGTTACCGT